ACAATTGCTGGGCGTGGTGGTGCACGCCTGTAATCTCAGTGGCTTGGGAGGCTGATTGTGAGTTCAAAGCCAGCCTAAGCAACTTATTGAGGCCCTAAGCAACTCAGCAAGACCCTGTCTCTAAATAAAATATAAAAAAGGGTTGCGGATGAGGTTCAGTGGGTAAGTGCTCCTGGGTTTAATCCCTGGTAACAGGAAAAAAGAATCACAATGAAAATAGTAGCAAAAAAAAAAAAAAAAAAGTAATCATCACTGGATGATGTGTTTTTGAAGATGGGTGATAGACACCAAGTCCAGGAGATCAGGAAACATTTCCCTACCTATAGTAAATAAGAGGGGAAAGCTAAGCTGTTCCTGAGCCTTGCCCTTCAGCTCTACTTCTTCAGCAGGGTGCACAGGAAAAGCCCATGACTAGAGATTTCTGGGTTCATCTGCTTCTGAAGACCCTGACCAAGCTACACGTCCTCTCTGGATTTGTTTTTATTTGTTTTATTTGGCTGGTTGGTTGGCTTTCAATCTTTCAAATGAGAAGGTTAGGTTAGATGATTTTGAAAATTTGCTTTAAGCTAGAAAATTTCATGATTATTTTCCTGAGATTCCTGCAAGCCAGTGACCTTTACAGGTCATACTTCAAATTTCTAATTGATGTCACCTGGACAGATTAATCTGGTTATAGCCACAGTGGTCAGAAAACTATCCCAGAGGACTGGGGATACAGCTCAGTTGGTAGAGTGCATGCCTCACATGCACAAGGCCCTGGGTTTGATTCCCAGCACCAAAAAGAAAAAAAAAAACTATCCCAGAAACCCTCTTAGTCACTAGGTATACTATCTAGGAGTCAAGCCATACAAGGGACCTCTTCTCAACTTTCCAAAAGAAGGGCACAGAGAAGTAAAGAAACAGAGGGCTTTGTATGGTTTGGCAAGCATGGGCAACCCCTCCATTTAACATGGGCATCTTTTCTTGAATGTCCATTTTACCACCCAAAACTAGACCTCTTATTATGAGTTGAATTATCTGAAACACTTCAGGTGCCAGTTACAAAAATGATGAACTCTCTTCTAAATCTATTTCTGAACAAGCCCAGACAAAAACTATTCCTGTAAGCCACGGAAATCTGCACACAATTTTGATAAGTAGCACCATGTCCTCAAAAGACAGGAAACTGGTTAGAGGATGTCAGTGCATTTAGATAGGTGAAGGGTGAACAGGATTTAAGAGGTCACCAGCTGGATGGAATAGGGTCATTCTGCTTTTACTAACTTTGAATACAAATATTATAGATTTATTTAAGCCAAAAAATAATTCTAACAGAAACTGTCTTAAATAGATTTTATGTCCCAAATTTTCTTAATTTAAAAAAATGGAAATCTTCCTCAACATAACAAGATTAAGGCATTTGTATCTAAGCAACTCAGACAGATTAGCCAAACAGTCCAACAGAGAGTACTCAACAAGCTCCTGAGATGACGAAGCTTGGGGCAGCAACACAGCCCTAATTATAGTCAAGGTGTTCTCTGAACCCGAGACCCAGGTTTTTGATTGACTTTATGCTTTTACACATGCTGATCCTTCCTCAAAGAATACTATTCTCCTCCACAATCTCCTGCCTGGTTCACTTGACCTTCAAGATTAAGCACAAAAGTCACTTTTTGTGATGCTTCCTGAGTGCCATGCATCTTGGTTGCCATTTTATACACACGGGCACGCACACATGCATTTAAAAAATCTTAAGTTTCAAATGTTCAACATCTCCAGCAATTAGAGAAATGCAAATCAAAACTACACTGAGATTCCACCTGACTCCAGTCAGAATGGCAATCATCAAGAATACAAGCAACAATAAATATTGGCGAGGATGTGGGGGGAAAAGGTATGCTCATACATTGTTGGTAGGATTGCAAATTGGTACAACTACTCTGGAAAGCAGTATGGAGATTCCTCAGAAAACTTGGAATGGATCCACCATTTGATCAAGTCATCCTACTCCTAGGTTTATACCCAAAGCACTAAAAATCAGCATACTACAGTGACACAGCCTCATCAATGTTTGTAGCAGCAGAATTCACAATAGCTAAACTATGGTACCAACCTAAGTGCCTTTCAACGGATGAATAGATAAAGAAACTATGGTAGGGCTGGGATGTGGCTCAAGCCTGGCATGTGTGCAGCCCGGGTTCAATCCTCAGCATCACATACAAATAAAGATGTTGTGTCCGCCGAAAACTAAAAATAAATATTAAAAAAAATTCTCTCTCTCTTTAAAAAAAAAAAAAAAGAAACTATGGTAGATATACCCAATGGAATATTACTCAGCCTTAAAGAAGAACAAAATTATGGCATTTTCCAGTAAATGGATGGAACTGAAAAATATTATAAGTGAAATAATCCAGTTCCAAAGAACCAAAGGCCAAATGTTTTCTCTGATATGCATATGCTAATTCATAATAGTGGAAGAAGAGAATAGAGGTATTTTGGACTAAACAGAGGGAGTGAAGGAAGGGGGGGCTGGTAAGAATGATAGTAGAATGAATCAGACATTATTACCCTATGTGCATATATGACTACAAGATCTGTGTAACTCTGCATCATGTACAACAAAATGAATAAGTAGTTCTTCTCTATTTATGTATGATGTGTCAAAATGCATTCTTCTATCATGTAAAACTAATTAGAACAAATAAAAAATATATTTAATTTTTTTTTAAATTTCATTTTTAATTACAAAAATCAATCCATTCTGCCAGGTGTGATGGCACACACCTGTAATGTCAGTGGCTTCAGAGGCTGAGACAAGGAGGAGCACCAGTTCAAAGCCAGCCTCAGCAACTTAGAGAGGTCCTAAGAAACTTAGAGAGATCCTGTCTCAAAATCAGAAACAGAACAAAACAAAAGGGCTAGGAATGTTGCTCAGTGGTTAAGCACCCATGGGTTCAATCCCCAGTACCAAAAATACTCCAAAAACCAAAAACCAAAACAACAGCAACAAAAAACCCACAGAAACCCAAAAAACAACAAAAACAAAAATCCCCTCAAACTAATGCATTCTAACTGTTTAGAGACAAAGTAAAAATGAAAAGTTCTCCTTGATATGCCCAAGTCCATTATGCCCCTCTTCATTTTAATATTCTTCTCATTCCCAGCCTAGAGCACAGTTTCTGGCTCACAGTAAATCCACAATAAATGATCAATGAATAAATTGGCAGTGATTAATAATAAATTAACATGATGATGTTGAAAATAAAATTTCAGCATTTACTGAAATGATGATGAAATATGATCCAGGCAATGTGTTAAATATTTTGCAAAAATTATTGACTAAACCAAAATGTCATTCCATTATTTTTTTGGATAGATTTTTAGTATATTACTCAGTGACTTTAAAAGGAAATATATCCTACCACCATTATATTTCTAGATGATAGGATTGTAGATTATTTTTATTTTCATCTTTTTAAGTTTCATACAATAAACATGTTTTTCTTTGTATAACTTTTTTGGAAATTATTTTAGAAGAATATACTCTTAAATCACTCCCTTTCAACAGTCTTTTCAAGATCAAGAAAAAAAAAAAAAAAACCCTAAGAATTCTGAGCTTGATTAATTAAAAAACAGATTTTTTAAAAAATTAGCAAATTATTAGTGTTCCTTATGCAGAAAGGGCAATGTTCAAAGGAGAATTAAACAAATTGTTCCAGTTGGAGGAAAAATTCAATTTAGTGCATGCAGACTGTGCTTCTTGACTGAAAAACAAGTTAATTCCTTTCATTCGGAATCAGTATGCATATTCACTGGCTATATTTCATCTCACATCTGCAAACTTAATTTTTCCTTTCTTGGTCTTTGGAAGATTAGGAAATAAATTTTAGTCCAGGCAACAATAAATCCTACTTGGCAAGCTCAAAATAACTTAATTATTAAAAAGCAGCACCAAAAACCAGCTAGCAACCTTCCAAGGACTGTTAACACCACTTAAAAAAAAAAATGGGTCCATCTGTCTAAAAGGAGACTAAAGATACATGAATAACAAAATACAATGTTTTAGAAATGCTCTGCTAAACAACAATGTTGTATATTGTCAGTACCTTTAAATTTTAGCAATAATTATGAAAAACAATTCCCCTATAATGAATGTTACAAAATAATGTCATCATATCACTTGGAGGAGACTTAGACTTTTAAAACCAAGGTACCTGTAAGGCAGGATATTTGGATGTAGTTCCCAAGAACCAACATGATCCCGTGGCTGAGAAGAAAGCTTTCAAATGAAAGCCTACTAGCTGCTTAAAAAAGTCTTTTAAAAATTTTTGGTAGTAGGTGGGCACAGTGGTGCATGATTGAAATCCCAGCAGCTCAGGAAGCTGAGGTAGGAGGATTTTGAGTTCAAGACCAGCCTCAGGATCTTGGTGAGGCCCTAAGCAACTCAGTGAGCCCTGTCTCTAAATAAAATATAAAAAAGGGTTGGGGAAGTGGCTCAATGGTTAAGCACCCCTGGGTTCCATCCCTTATACCAAAAAAAAAAAAAAAAAAAAAATCTTGATAGTATATTTGGGAATGTCCCTTCTTCCTTGGGGGAGAGGGTCCTTGCTAGACATATACAACTTGTAGACACTGTCCCTTTAAGTGCAGAGATGGTCTCTAAATATGCCCAAATTTAAATCTAGGATATTCAAAGGCTGCCTTTCCAACATTTGACAAGGACTCTATGAGTTCTAAAGCTCCCTAGGGTGCCACAGTGCCTGCTGATGCTCTTTACAGGCCACTGAGAGCTGAGCTTGGTGGCACACATCTCTAATCCTAGCAGCTCGGGAGGCTGAAGCAAGAGGATCACAAGTTCAAAGCCAGCCTCAGCAAAAGTGAGGCACTAAGCCACTCAGTGAGACCCTGTCTCTAAATAAAATTCAAAATAGGTCTGGGGATGTGGCTCGGTGGTTGAGTACTCCTGAGTTCAATCCCCGGTACAAAAAAATAAAAAAATAAAGGCCACTGAGCTCCCTTACTGTGAAATAAAACTGCTCTGTCTCTTGCTGGTTGGCTCTCCTCTTAGCGATGCTAGGCTTGCTCATGAAGGTTTCTGAGACAGTTGACTTGACAGATTCCATAGAATTGCTGTACTGGAAGCAGTCAGACACATCAAAATCCTCGACCGTCACAATGTCCTGGATGGTCTGCAGGGTGGCCTCCATTGTTTTCTTTACCTGTGGTGATAAGGGTCAACATAATGCATGAGGGGCAGGCTGCAAAGAGCCAGTGATAGAGAAGCTTGGAGAAGTGGAAGAGGAGAGGGCTGGGAAGGATGCAAGATACCACAGAAGGTACAGCTGTGCTTCCCACTGGACGGTGTTAAGAGAGTGATAAAAGTCACATGGACCCTACCACAGAATGCTACCCTCTTTAGTGAGGACCTAAAAAACCATCACCTGCTTTGTGCTTTATACTCGACTCAGTTCTTTTACTTAATGTGTACTTTTGAAATTTAACATTAGCTCTTTGTTATAATAAAAGTACACCACTGTACAAAGAGCTAGTTAAAACATCTGATGGGCAGAGTCCTGCAGTGTCTCAGGTTCTGTTTTCTGAGCTTCAACAAATTGATGAATTTGTTTCCCTATTTGCAAACCAAGGGACCCATCTGCAGTCCTTCCTGATCTTACTGGGAAAAGTAAGACTTACTGAGATGCAAGGTAAGAGGCCATGTGAGCTCAAAGGAAAGCTGGATGGATCACTGATCAAACTGCCCTTTTGAACTGGCTGTTGAAAGAAAATCTGCTGGGCCCAGAAGAAAGTCACCCTTTCTGAAGAGGATTGAGATGTTTGAAGTGTCAAAGTCAAAGGCCTCTGTTTATTTGAAAATGCTGGAAAAAGCCAGGCATGAGGGGGTGGTTTCAGAGACACAATATTGTCCACACAGCTGCCAAGTGCCATTTTGATTAAACGTGGAGAGAGGGGGGAAAAGCATTTTGCAAAAGCTCAAAATAGAGCACAACCTTTGGCAATGCAAGAGCAACTTCCTGGAGTTCAAGGGCAGGATGTAGCAGGGGGAAAGTCCAAGCCTACATTTGGCTAGGAAATGTTTGCGGCAGCCCGGACATTCTCTGCATGCTCCTTCCACCTGCTCCCAGTTGGGCAGCAGCAAGAAATTCAACGGAGAACCTCAGAGGGGGCTCTGAGCCTCCTACGTGGGGAACTTACCTCTTCATTCTCAATCTTCAGAGTGGATAAGCGGGACTGTAGCTGTTGGCATCTCTGCACCAGCTCACTCTGAACAGGCTGCTGGGCACAGAGCTGGGAGGCCTGCCAGAAGAAAATCACACCAGGTCAGGAAGAGGACACAGTTCTTTTGGTGGTTCCAGAGTTCTCATTACTCCTAATAAAACTAATTCAAGGTGTAAGGCTTGCAGTTTCTATTGGAAATAAAATCTAAAGTCAATGTATGGGGACCTCTTCCAGGACCAAGGAGCACATGAAAGGAATGGGGAGAGGGATCAGTTTGGAAAGACCAGGTTTCTCCCCTTGGCATCCCTCCACAGGCTGGTGCTTGGCTGAAGCAGGTCTACACAGGGTCCACATCCGTGGAAGGCTGAGGAAGCTGGAAAAGAGTACCTTGGGCAGCCTCAGCTCCAGAAATACAATGCTTTGGCACAGTGAGGATTTCCTGCTGGAGGTCCAAGTGGCCACCTCTCCAGCCCTTCCCTCCTCCCGCTTCATACATCAGAGTGAGAGCAGGAGAGAAGTGGGTCAGGAGGCTAACTTGCTGCTCTTGGCAGCCAGCATGTGTTTATAAATCCAGGCCATGCACGACTCCATGGCTGACTCAATGAGAGAGTACGCAAAGCAGGGAACAGGTTCGTAAGCTGTGCTAGGGGCCCCAGAGGGCATGGAATCTGGTGGAGTGTGACATTTTCCAAAGAGCTATCATTTTACCCCAGGTCTTTACTAGATCTGTGTGGGAGAGGATCTTCTGCAACTTGCCCTTCCCCCAAGGAAGCTTTCTCCTATGTGAAGGGGCTGCCAATCTATGGTCCTTCTTGATGGGGGTGTGACTGTGGCATGATGTCACCCACAGTCCCTAAGATGACTGAAGAAGAGCAGAAGGCAGGACCCATGTGCAGGCAGCTCCTGTCATCTTGCTACCATGTGTCCTTTAGTTCTTGTCTGAAGAGAGCCATCTAGATAAAACTGGCTCCTTCCTCAGCATCGAGTGGGCACATTCATATGCTCACAGACAGTTCTCTTGCTTGAAAGACAAAACCTCCCTTCAAATGGAGGGGGCTGGGACTTGACCTTTTCATCCATTGGCTTTTAAGCTCTCAACTGCTTTGACCTCTTCTCTGGGCTGACAGGCTGACCCAAGCCAGTTCTCAGATCTGAAGAGAGCTGACTTCATTCTGGCTCTTGGATAAGTAGACACAATGGAGAGAGCTTGGTGGCCAGAAAGAGTTAGTGCCAAGAGTGAAACTCTCTGGCTGCCTGATGTCACCAGTCAGGCATTCAGAGCCCCACAAGCCTCTGGGGGCACCAAAAGTAGAGACAGGCATTGCCGCCTAGTGCATCTGAGAATGCTTGGCATCCATTCATGTGTTGAGGGCCCCATAACACCAGTCAGTGTGGGGCCTTGGTCAATTTCAGGGCTTCTGGTCAAAATGCCACCCGAACTCTGGCCCTAGTTCAAGGACTTCCAGGCAGCTCCTCATGCTGCCTCCACTGTCTACAGACAACCCACACTGATGAGGACAGACTAGCCTCAGGGACCAAGAACGACTTTCTCTCTCAACTCTTTTTATTTTCCATTTTAGGAAGGCTAGGCTAGAATGTAGAACCTTGTAAGCTCTAGGTCTGGCCTTGACCCCTGCCTGGCTTAGCTATTGATCAGCTAGCTATATGACATAAAAAGAGCACCCAGGCAGAAGGATGAGGTATTGATTTTTAAAGTAACCCAGACCTGGCAGGGAGACGTCATGGAGGAAAATCCACCTCCAAGTCTGTTCCTTTAAGACGCAGCAGAGCTGCTGATGCATGTTTTGGCAGGAATCTCCTACCAGGGTGCAAGGTAATGCATTCCAGCTGTGCTCTGGAGAATGGAAATGTGGCTCTGACAGGGCGAGGAGGGAGCCTGAGTACCCAGCATCTGGATTCCCCCTTTATGGAGACAAGCTGTTTGGCTCAGAAGACAACACAGTCAACACCAGGAAATGCATCCCTCTGCTCAGCTGGTCCCCAAGTAAAACTGAAGCTTGGGACGGAATCTCAGAGGCAGCTGGGGAAGGGGCTTAGAAGGCAAATTTGACCAGGAGCCAGGGCAGGTGAGGAATGGGGCTTCTGGGGGGTTGGTGACACCCTTCCCCCAACTCTAACTGCACATGCGGTGTCTCATTCCCCATCTGTTCAGACGCTGACATCTCCTAAGCCACAGCAATGGAAACACTCTGTAAGTGGTTTGGTTTTTCCCAAGAAGGAGAGGAAAGAAATCCTTTCCACACTTTTGTCTTTAGGACAGAAATGTCCCACTCTCTATAGTGGCCTATTGATGACAGCAAATCTTTTGGTTACACAGCTACAGTTGTCATTCTGGAGAAGGGCTTTCTAAAGAGTCTGGATGCTAATCCTAAAGGAAGCACTACACCTGGCAAGAGCACATTGCTGTTTTTTGGTCCCCTAGCATCTGCGCCTCCTTCTTTTGATAACTTTGGTCTGACTGTCCTTAAGGAGAACCTCCTACTCTACAACTCAAGCCAAGTTCTTTGGATGAAGCATGTGACCCAGGCATAAGCCAGGAAGTCAACTGATACCCAGCCACAGTGACTGGCTCAGGGATAAACACATCACCCAATCAAAGCCAGAGGACACAGCAAGACCTCTGTGGGGATTTTGAGGAGGGAGGCAGATCCTCATCCTTTGGATTCTAACCTATAGGGAGATGAAGCTGGGAATACAGTCACCTTGCCACCAGGTAAGATCCTGAGAATGGAAGTAAGCAGACAAAAAAATAAAAAAAATTGAGCTGTGTAAAGTTCCTGCTCTTAAATCCAACCATGCCTGAAGGTCCATCCTGACCCTTTCTGTCATGGAAGCCTATACACCCTCCTTCTGATTTGTAGTTGAAATGGTGACTCCCAACTTCAGGAAGGAGGTTTACTATGATTTAGATGCACAAACACCAAAAGGAGAACCAAAGATTCAGAGCAATTAAAACCAAGAACTTCTCTTTCCTCTCACTTTATACCCTTCTTGTTCTAGTCAATAGAGGTAAAGAATCTCCAACAAGTCCCCCAATTCATGCTCCCCTGCCTTGGCAACCAGCTTCAGGCTTTCAGGATCACCTCTTAGCTACTGTCCTTTCTGGAAACACCCATGCTGTTTTGTTCAATACCCAAGGAAAACTACACCCTTCATCACAATCTTTAGAACCCAGAAGAATAGATCCTTCGGAACTCTGACAAATGACAAGATCACTTCATTCCTATACTAAGCCTGCCCTCCTTCCCCCACAGAAACCTCTAGGGCCTGGCCCTACCTCAGCTCTCACTTCTTCCAGACCCACCCCACTTGGAGGGCCCCTTTCCCCCACTTTCCTTTTACCTACAAACTCTCAGTAGTTTTTAGAATGTACCAGATAATTCTTTGTGATTTTTTTTTTTTTTTTTTTAATGACAGGGTGTCATCATGTTGACCAGGTTGGACTCTTGGAAGCCCTGCTTCAGCCTCCCAAGTGGCTTTATGGACACATACCACTATGCCTAGTAGCTGTCCCCTTTGGATGTCCCTCTCTGTGCATATTTCTCTCTCCCAACCTCAGCTAACTCTCTCACCAGACAAAAGCTTCCTGAGGGCTCCAACAGCCTGCCTAGCATGCTGCAGGCACTTGGTGGCTGTTTGCTGTATGAGTTGAATGTGCCTCACCCCCATGCAGGAAGCTCTCTCCCCCTAGAATAACATGGCCTCTGTGTAGTGAAGCCACCCCAATATATTCAAGTCCCTGCAGATGTGTGAGAATAGGAAGAGGGCCTCACCATGTCCCCCATGTGGGGCTGGAACTCAAACTTCATAGGGGGGCAGAAGACATTGTTGTACATCTCCATGAGGCGCTGCTTATCACTGGTGGCATCCAGGTTTTCTACTGCATTCTCAATGGCATCCAGACCCTCATGCTTCGACTGTTCGAGATTTAATTCAGCAGAGAGGAAGGTGCGCAGGGCCCGGTTCAGGCTAGCATGGTAGCCTAGGTCACAACACTGCTGTGGAAGGAGAAGGCACGTGAGCACACCACGATAGCTACAAGGCCTGACAGAAAGGACAGCTGGTCCATAGGGCAGATCTGACCACATCAATGTACCTAGCTGTGCAGAGTGAAGAAGGCTGACATTCAGAATTCCAAGATCTGCATGAGACAGAATTCTCAGTTCTTGACTCCAGATCAATGGTTAAACACACTTACAGGACTGTGAGGTGGCTAGATGGAAGAGGACCCATAAGGACCAAATAAAATGATTTAATTCAGTGCTATTCCATAAACATGAAAAGGTTTAAGAGTCAAAGAACTCTGCTGGGTGCAGAGGTGCATGCTTATAATCCCAGTAGCTCTGGAGACTGGGGCAGGAGGATCACAAGTTCAAGGTCAGCCTCAGTAACTTAGTGAGGCCCTAAGCAACTCAGCAAGACCCTGTCTCCAAATAAAATATAAAAAAGGGCTGGGGATGTGGCTCAGTGGTTAAGTGACCCAGCCTGGTATCAAAAAAAGAGTTAAAGAATTCTGTTTCTAGGTTTGTCTGAGGTTGCATTATGACAAAATTCAATAATAACAATATAACCTGCCACTCCCTGAGGATAACTGTGGTTGAATCACTACATACCAAGCACATCAGGCCATTTTAGCAGTCAGGGGTCAAAAGTCCAGAGTGCTGCAATAGCAGCTAATTTACACAACCTCAGCTCCAGGTGGGAGAAGAGAATGGGAGGCTGACTCTGTCAACCCACCGGCTTCCAGTGTTCTAGGACAATCCTGAACTGCACAGTAAATTTTCTATGCTGAAGCTCCTGCCCTACAGAAATAGCATTTATAATACTACTAAACAGTTGCTGGGAGCTGTGGTACAGGCTTGTAATCTCAGCAGCTCAGGAGGCTGGGATTCTCCTGAATCACGAGTTCAAAGCCAGCCTCAGCAAAAGCAAGGTGCTAAGCAGCTCAGTGAGACTCTGTCTCTAAATAAAATACAAAAAAGGGCTGGGGATGTGGCTCAGTGGTTAAGTGTCCCTGATTTCAATCCCAGGTATCAAAAACAAAACAAAACTAAACTAAATAGTTCCAAACGTAGGTGTTACTGGGGATATTCATATCACACAATGGATTCTGATTTGCTACACCAAAAATGTACAAGAGGAAATAGTATGAAAGAGGCAACTGTATAAAACACCCAACACTGAAGCAGAGTCAAGCAACCTTAGAAACCCTGAACCTGTTTCCTTGATAGAAAATGAACTGATTTGACAAAGCCAGTGGTTTTGAAACTGTAGACCAGAGCTCTCAAGTTCTATGCCAGCTTGCTCAGGCTGCCTGTGAAAAGGGGAAGTACAATCCATGGTGGCTCATGTGGTTGTTCATTTTTCTACTTAATATATTTTTGAGATTCTATATAAGGTCTGGTTTGAAGAAAGAATTCTTCTGTTAGAGAAAAAGTCTGAAAACCTTGGATTAAAGGCAATCCCCAAGGCCCTTTTCAGCAACAGCATTCTGAAACTCTGTGATAATATTCCCCACCCCTCCAAAAGGACCCAGAGATCCAAATTCTTTGGCTAGCCTTTATCCTCTCTATTGCTTAAGCAGCTTTGAGGCCCAGACCTGAGAAGAAACGTCAGAGAAGAATCCATGGATAGAGAAGGCCATCTGTGTGACTGTCATTTCATCGCATAAGCAAGCTTCAAATTAACTCTCCCCCCAGCCTTTCCCCCTCATCATGATCACATTGGGAACAGCCACTACTGGGGAAGAAAAAGCACATGACATGCCTCCTCCTTCCAGGCATCTGACAAGATGCTCAGCAATGGAGCACCCGTTGGGCTGGGCTCTGGGTTCAGTGCCAACAGGCTCTGGCAGGTGCCTGGCTTCAGCAGAATAATGGCAGTCACAGCTTAACTAGAGCCAGAGGATGGAAAGACATTAAATTCGGATGGGAGGGAGAAGCAAATGAAAGCTAGACAAAAGCGGCTGATTGGGAGGCTGCACGTGCAGGGGGCTCTTCCTCCTCTGGGAGATGCTGCTGAACTAGCCAGGCTGCCCTTGAACCTTAAACCCTTCCTGAGGAGCTCTGGCTAGCCCCTGATGCTGGTAAGTCTAGTGACAGGTAACTGCCCACAGTGTAGGGCGGGGGTTGGAAGGAAAATTAGGGGGAGGCAGGGTGCCCTTCAGAAACCTTTATGTATTTTTAGAAACTCCCCTTTCCTCTCTATTCTCACTGTCTCTGTCCTAAAAATACCTTTATCTTACACCAGTGCTGTCTGCTTCACTGTCCTAAAATGTGACTTTTATTATGCCCCCGTTAAAGAACTATTTATTTTTTTCTAAAGTAAAAATCCACCTTCCTTAGTTTAGAAATGTAAAGAAATTCTTCTCTTCACTAAGGATGTTTACTACATTCTACATCCAAATCTTCACAATTACCCCCCATGAGGTCGGTATTTTCTTAGTTTTCCAGATGAGGAAGCTGAGATTGACAGGTTAAATAATTTAAGCAAGGTCAAACAGGCAGAACAAATTATAATGTGTCTGCAGTCTGCCCACCTGACATTATTCCCCTCACTTTTCTCCTTCAGCTCTTCTGGTCTAATCCGATGACATACTCTCTGTTTAAGATAGTGTTGGAGAAGCATAGGCCTCCAACCAGCTGTGTGACCATAAACAAACTACTTAATCCCTCTGAGCCTTGAATGAGGATAAGTCCAGCTGATAACAGGCAATACATTTACATATATCTGGTACTGCATATAACACCAATCATCGTATCCCTAAATCCACTGACCTCTGCCCTGCAGCTCCTAGCCTTTTCTCTTCCAGAGATGTTTCCCACTCTTCTCACCTGCTAGAATTGTACCCACTCTTCAAGATCTGAATCAAATTCCCAGCCTCTGGGAAACCAACCAGCTCTGCATCCCTGGCCAACACTGCCCGGATATCTACTTGGAACTCTGCTGATGAGCCCTCACATGATACAGAATACTTGCCCTTATTCTGTGTCTTGCCATTTCCGACCACCCCAAATACATTGTATGTTTCTTGAAGACTTGGCTGGTATCTTACCCTTGTTTATTACCCTCCCACACAGTAGGCCTTGCTCACAGTAGGCTTTTCTTTTTTTTTTAATATTTATTTTTTTAGTATTTGGCGGACACAACATCTTTGTTTGTATGTGGTGCTGAGGATCGAACCCGGGCCGCACGCATGCCAGGCGAGCGCGCTACTGCTTGAGCCACATCCCCAGCCCTCACAGTAGGCTTTTGATAAAGTTTAGTTATCAATCTGATTGATACCACAAGAACAATTTCTGGCTTCTTGGGAAATAGTCTGAATACTGGCCCAAGTTAAGTGGGTGGTTTTGTTGCTTACTGTACAGGGTCTGAGGGAAGCAGTAGCCTCCTGGGCTGCAGCAATGACTCTATTTATATGACCATCTGGTAGGTTCTCTGTGCAAATGAGTGGGAGCCTGACTCACAAATGTGCCCTCTGGCTCCTCCGCACCTCCAGCTAACCTGGGCTATTTAGAATAGGTTTTCAGAGCTTTGGCCCTCTATATGTCTTCAGGGGCAACAGCCAGAAACTGAGCCTTTAGCAAAGAAGCAATATCTGGTCAAGGTTAGGTAAATGAGGTTTGAATATCTCATTGTACTCCCAGGAGAATCCCAGTGCATAGAGGCAGCAAGTTATTTTGTTCACACTGGGGACAAAGCATGTTTTCCATGGCTTCTGATGAGTTCTGTGGCCACACTGGGCTCCCCTGGCTATTTCTGGGTTATATAAATGTTTGATGAAAACCCTCTCAGGGGAAATCAAATTTATAAAGAATTTAATGACAGCCCACCCAGATGTATGATAACTGGAGTCAATAGCTTACTAATCCTTTACCAGCTGATAGTCTCAAAGACCCTAGAAAGGACCTAGTAAATAAAAAGTTCATACAGAGAAAAACAGTCACTGCTCTTAATAAAATTTCCTACTGGGAAAGCCAAGTTCCTTCATGTCCAACTTGGGTGTACATGTGTCATGGACCCTCTGTCCAGTTGCCTGGCCCTCACAATATTCAGGCTAAGTTTGAGGACAATGCTGTGTTCTTCATTCACCCATCTGCTCCTAGGCTGACTGAGAGAACCAGAGAACCAGTATAGGGGAAGTAAATGACATTCCAAGGTGCCTCCAGTTCTTAGATGCTATCAAGTGAGCTCAGAATGTCTTTTGGGCCTGAAGTCAAGGTTTTCCTGGTGTGTGTCTCACATGGACTCCTCTAGTCTGAGTTTAAATCTTACACTATACTATAAAAAGAAGTTGGAGGCTAGTCCTCGTGTTAGTGTAATGGCATTGACTAAAATAACTTCTTTTCACTTCTCTTTGCCTTAAATACAAGCTTCAAACTCCTAGAAAGAAGGCAGAATGGTATACATAACACAGATGGCAATGGACCGCAATAAGAATCATCCCATGTCTTCAAGCAAGTTCTGGATACTGTCAAGATCAAGATGCCAACATACCCAGGTTCCTTGCTCACTCCTGCTCTGTTGGTTTGTTGCCAAAGCACACATTTGGCCCTTTTCATTATAGGTCAGCAAGAAAAACAAATACATACAAACAACATGGATGGAGCTCAAAAAAAGCTGGGCAAAAGAAGCCATATACAAAAAATTATATACTGTATATGCCCATCTTTGTGAAATTCTACAACAGGCAACACTAACTTGTAATGAATGAAGTTACAATAGTGGTTGCCATAGGGTGAAACTGGGAAGAGACAAGAGGAATTTTCTGAGGTGACAGGAGTATATCTTTCATCAGCTACTTATTCTAGATCTTGATAGAGATGTAGATTATAAGAATGTATAAATTTGTCAGAACTCTTGAAACTAACAAATTCAGTCATCATATGCAAATGACACGCTAAATGAGTATTAAAGGCACAAAAAGTGAAGCAAATCTTGGCTTAGCGGATCATCTTCTTCCTCTTTTTTCTATTCTATTCTTTCTTCAGTGAACATACCCATGTTTAGCTACATATTAAGCACTAGGGGCTATGAAGGTAAAGTAAGTCTTAGTCCCTGCCCTCCTGGATCTTAGTACAGTGGCTCTCAAACTTTTGACCCTCAATTCACAAGAAGAAATATATTTTACATTATCACCCACATATATACAGAACACCCAGGGGCACGCAAGCATGCATATACACACCTAACATAAAAATTTCACAAAATAAAACCTAGCCTCACAGTGTGAGGCACCCTGACATTTTTTTCCTGACTCTAGTCTAGTCTATTCATTTAAAAAAACAGGTCAGACACATGAAAGTGAATTTATGGCACCCTTAACGGATCGTGACCCAAGGTGTAAAACACCTAGAGTCTATAAATACCTCTCAGGCAAAACTATTATATTCCATTTATACCCCTGGTGCTGGGCACATAGCCTCACTCACATATTTACTGAACATTTATGGAGTAGAGTAACCTTATCAGCTTTTCCTAAAAAGAGTAACTAATCTGTCCTCACCCTACAAAAAACAAACCTTAAACAATAAACAAACCAGATACCAAAATACAACAGCAAAGAAAAAAGAACAAATGTACTACCCTGTGGCCTGGAATGCTGTCACCCTAGACTTGCTCACAGTTCCCTAGACCCATGCCCTGCTGAGTACTGGGGAAGCTGGCTGTCCTCTTTTTTAATGGCAGTTCACACCATATCCTGTAAAGTTAGGTTCTTAACAGGCCTTAAAAAAAGTGATGAAAGTAAGGCCCCAAATAGCTTGCTTTTTACACTGATTTTAAAATACCTGCTCATGTCTGATGAAGAAGGTTGTGACTGATAGAGAAGTAGCCCTTGTCTTCCCCTAAGGTCAAAATTTTGGTGAAAGTGTAGGACAGTGACCCCAGGGGCAACAGAAAGGGAAGATAGCAAACCAGCATTAGAGGTGTGGCAGCCTGCACAATCTTTTCTTCTTAAAAAATATTTTAACCAAATGCAAGATAAATGGCGGGAATTGAGCATAAGAAAGAACAGATTCTCTTTCTCAGGCCAAGAACAGGCCTCTTCCCAATAGTGAGGAGTTGCTGCCCTGAGGAGAAGAGGATCTTGTTTAGGGCTCTGACCTCTTTTGAAAGACAGTGTTCAGATTAGCATCAACAAGCAGAGAGAACAAAGAGGTGCCTGAATAGAGACCAAGGCTCCACTTACCCAAGGGAAGCAATGACATACAGGGCATTAACAGCCCCAAATCTACCAAATCAAAACTCCCTGGTCAAAGGGAAATAGGAATCTGTATTTTGGAAAAGTTCCCCAAGCAACTCTGATGTGGGCCAGATTTAAGTACCAATGGTCTAGTCCAGCTCTTTAGTTTGCTGCAGGGTGGAGCAGTGGGAAACCACAGAAGAGTTCCAGAACAGTTCAGCGACAGGTCAAGATGAACCAGCTATTTAGAGACCAGTGAGTCTTAGATCAGACCCCCATATGATGTTGCGCAGTATGACAGGTTTGCTTGTGGAGAAACTGAGGCAGCAAGCATTTGCAGTCTGGCCAGAGGCTTGCAAGACCCAGTTGTTGTTGCTGAGAGCCCAAAGCAAATGCCAGGCCTCAAACAGGATACAGGGATACACCTGAAGCCCTAGAGACTGGGAGGCTGATGCTCCATCAGTTGCTTCTAGTTGCTTTCAATTGCTTCACTTTGATGACCACAGGGAGAGGTAAGAAAAGTTCGCCAATGTAGCTTTATCTAGGACCGGCTCTGGAATTGGGCCAGATGAAGGGTAGAGACTACAAGACTCAACTATAAGGTCTGAGGAAAACAATAAGAGGATCAAGATCAAGACTGACCCATAAGGCCAAAGATAAAAGGAGATGCCTACTTCATGCAAAACACATGTGCCTACTAACCTGCTTCTCTAGATTGTCCGTGTGCCACATCTCAAAAAGAATGGTCCTGATGTCAGTGGCATCTGGATAACTTCCTGATAGGAACATAATTTGTCGTACACTGCAAATCTGTAACCTTGGGTAGGTAAGTCTCTTAACCCTCTGGACCACTAGTTTCCTCAACTACAAACTGGAGACAGCATTACTTATCCATACGGTGTTGTGATAATCAAAGGAGATAATACCAGACATACAAGTTGCTGAGTATTTCCTAGCAGCCCAAAGAGTGCTGTGGTCATGGATCTTGATTTAGTAAGATTTAGGTGCAAATTTTGCCTCTGTCACTTTTTTTTTTTTTTTTTTTTTTTGGTACTTGGGATTGAACCCAGGGGGTGTTTTACTACTGTGCTACATCCTGAGCCATTTTTATTTTGAGACAGGCTCTCACCAAGTTGCTTAGGATCTCACGAAGTTGCTGAGGCTGGCCTTGGACTTGTGATCTTCCTGCCTCAGCCTCCTGAACTTCTGGGATTACGAGGCTCCCTACTTTAAACGCGTGCCCCACTTTGAGTCTATCTTCAAATATCATTTTCCTCCTTGCACTGCCAACCTGGAGGAGGTGTCACTTACCCCAGCCTCTGAACACCTGACATCTAACACCAGGTTACTTCTGTCACTTAGTAGCTCTGGGTAAGTCATCTAAACTCTCTGAATGTTAATCGATAAAACTAGAGATAATAATGTCTTCCTCCAGGGACTGTAGTGAGAAGTGAATGAAACAAACAAAATGCGTCACCCAGAACTTGGAACCTGGCAATCTCCTAATCTCCAATCTCATGGCTATCATCTTTTTGTAACAGTCTCAAAATGCCCCAGATGCCCGAACAATAGAATTGGGGAATGTGTGACAAGGATTCTGAAGCCAGGGTAGAGGAGCCCATAGGCCCCCCCAGCTTTAAGCACTTACATCAATAAGATCAGACAGGTCGTGGATGTAGTACTTGAAGACAGATGCATTGGTTGCCTCCAAAGCCAGTAAGTATTCATTCCGGGCTTTAATGGCCTTCAATTTATTCTCGGTGTACTTGGCTTGGCGCTGAAAAGGGAACAGAAGTTAAATTTTACTTTTTTATTTTTTTTTAAAGGGGAGACTGTTCTCTGGGAGATGAAAGTACAGTACATTCAAGAACCACAACTGTGCTGCTACTCCCTATGCGCATCTGCTTTAAATTGGGTTCTAATTCTGCTTAATGAGATTCAAGGGCATAATGTAGATCAACTCAGCAAAGGTTAATGAGGCTCCCTACTTTAAATGCGTGCCCCACTTTGAGTCTATCTTCAAATATCATTCTCCATCCTTGCACTGCCAACCTGGAGGAGGTGTCACTTACCCCAGCCTCTGAACACCTGACGCCTAAAGGTGAACCCAAGGTCCTCAGTCTCCCCCCACTTCCTGAGGCAGCAAGATACTTTGCTCAATTTAGAAAATGAGCAGAGAAGGGTGACTACTGTTTCTTGTCTATATTCTGGAGGTTGAAAACTTGGAGTTGACATGCATCCTTCAATACCTAGGATTCCTGCCAGGACAGAGAAAGGACTCTTTTGGTAAAGGAACCCAGAGTTTCTGTGTTCTGCTCTTCTTTCCCTACTGGAAAATTTTTATCAATCCTGCCTTCCAGAACATTCTTCCCTGCCTGTACAGCTGTTACAGCATACATACCTTCTCTTTCATCTTCTCAATCTTCTTCACTGAGCTCCTCCGGACATGTTTCTCTTCAATGCGGACATTGGCGGTGGAGTCAGGGGAGCGTGGGGTCTGCCGGTCCTCCTGCTTCACAGATTTACCAATTTGCTTCTCCTCTTGCTTCTCGGCCTCCTTTAGTTTGCTCTGAGCACTGATGCTGTCGGCATTGTACATGTGATATGTCTTCATGACCTGCAAGACATCCCCCACCCCCACCCCAGAGGTCAAGCCAATGGGGTCAACTCTCTGCTTTACAGACTAAAAGACTCAGCCAGTCCTCTTCCCCAGGAAGCAACATCCTCATCCCCCCAAGGGAAAAATCCAGAAGGGTTTGGTTCAGCAAACATTATATAATAAAGGCAGTTCCAAAGCACAGGGAAGCAGAACTAACCCAAGGTGTCTTTTTATTGAAATGACTTCGGGTCTGTTCTTCATGTATTATTCAATTCTATTTATTACCATTTGTAATCATTAGTCTTATACAGGCCCAGGGATTTCCTATGGCTTGCTCACCTCACAATTACCCACTAGACAGGAAACACCACCTCTCTCAGTGCCCCAAAGAGGGCTGCATGGCCTGTGGAGTAGTCTATACTATTTGTATCTTTCAGCTATAAAACAGGGTAGAGGAAAAGCCTCCATAGCTCTCCTAACCATCCTGCTTCAACTGTATTATACACTACCTCACAGCACTAGAGCAACAGCCATGGCAGTTCTTACATTCTGAGCACATACCATATTCCTGGCTTTGTGCAAATGTCACACACACATTTGCTCATTTCATCTGTGCAGCAATTCTACAATCTAGACAACAACCATGAGATACTTGCATGATTCAGGTAAGAGTCAGGGAAGGAATAAAATCCCTATTAAGTATAACTAGAATTACTACAAGAAGTAATAGAAAAAGAGGGACACCATTTTCAAATTTTCCACCAAAGCACTGTCTAGGAATTCAATTCCATTTCTTAGCAATGAGACCAGGAAGCCTGGAACTTAACCTTGTTTCCAGTCCTCCCCAAATTACTACTTCCAGCCACATGATGCCCTGCTCTGCTGGAGCTTTCAAGGATATTGCTACCTTCCATCAGGGAATTACAAATGCTTTACCACAAACCTAGCCATCTGAAGTTCGAGAGTACTGAAGTTTTGATGCTATGAAATTTCTTTGAAAGGGAGAAATAGTGTAGGAGCTGTGTGTGTGTGTGTGTGTGTGTGTGAGCATGCATACGTGTGCACATGGCTGACCACTCGCAAGGGACAGCAAGGGTACAGTATTAATATTTATAATAATCTCTACCACTTAGTGCATGTTGTGTGTCAGGGGTTCTCTGTACGCCACCACAGTGAATCCTCACAACATCTCTGTGAAAGACATGTTATTATTTCCACTCCTAAAGAGGAGGAAATGGGGCTAAAGAGATTAACTATGGCACTCAAAGTCACACGACTAGTAAGTGGCAGTCAGAATTCAAATTTAGGTCTATCAAACTTCAAAGGCCACATTCTTTACCACTAAATCACTGCATAGGACTGGAGCTGAATTAGTTGGGAGGAAAGGTTAAGTAAATTCAAGGGAGACATGAAAAGCAAAATTGGTTTCATTTAGGAACTTGAGTTAGAGCAGTATCTCACCCAGGGGACATTTAGCAATGTCTGGAAATATTTTTGCTTGTGACACCTTGGGGATTGCTAATGGGAATGCTGCTGCACATCCTATACACAGGGTACCCCCTATAATAAAAAATTATTTGGTTCAAAATGTCAGTGGTGCCAAGGTTGAGAAAACCTGGGCTAGAGGGGCTCTGTGAGTATTCTAATCCCTTAGGATCAGTGGGAGGGGGAGGAAGGAATAAAGAATACTGAGGTATTGACAAAATCAAAGTACATTAGAATCTAAACTCTGTCTCATTTTGGATGCAGAATGCTTTAAATCAGCTTATTCTAAACCTGACACCATTTCCCATAAGATCCACTCTGCTTATACTTTGCATATTCTCTATATAGGAGAAGCAATATTAACAACTAAGGGTATTAAAAAGCTTTTCTAAGTAATTCAAACAGATCCCCAGTTTTGCAGGTTGACTAAGAAGTGGGAAAGAGGCCATCTGTTCTCCTGGCTGGAGACGGGTGGATGGGAGCTCCTTTCTCTGTTTTTTTTTTTCCACCTGATTCTGACAAAGGCATTCAAATGCTCAAGTAAATAAGTTGTGAAAGTGAATGATTTTTAAGAATATGATTTCCCATTTTATGATGAAAGAGGAAATATTATGAATGAACATAAGAGACAAAGGAGCTCAAAGAATAGTGTCAACAACAAACAGATGAAGTAATAAAAATCAATAATTTATATTGTTCCTTCCGAACCCAAAAGTACTTAAAGAACTCTCTCATTAAAAGATTTTAAAAGCTAGGCACGGTGGCATATGACTGGAAACCCAAATACCCATGAGGCAAGAGAATTACAAGATCAAGGTCAGTCTTGGCAACTTAGGGAGATCCTATCTCAAAACAAAGCATTGGGTGGCAGAGTATCCCTGGTCTAATCCCCAATACCCCTCCCCACCAAAGAAAGAGTAAAATATTATCTACTCTAAGAAACTAAAACTTTCTAAGGAAAATATGTCATGAACACATGGTAGCTTTACCATCAAATGGTTGCCCAAATGACTTAATGACAATGAATCATCTACTCTGTGGAAAATGTGGAAGAAATGTTACTAGTGCCCTCAAAAGGGAAAACTGAAGCATCCAGAGGCTGAAGCTTAAATAAGTAATAGTAAACAACTGGGGAAACAGGAAAATCAAGGTAGGACTTAGAGAAACATATATAGTGAGCAAATAAACTAGAGGAGAAACTCAGAATTCTAAATTCTCACTTCTTCAAAGAACACTCACTTTACTTTGAAAAACTAAATACAAAATTCATGCATTTAGCTCTGTTACCTCCATAAGTTACACTAAAAGGACAGAAAAGAGTTTTCATTATTACTTTTTTTTTTTTTTTTTGGTACTAGGGATTGAATTCAGGGTTGCTCTATCATGGAGTTACTGCACAGTCCTTTTTATTTGTTGTTTTGTGATGGAGTCTTGCTAAATTGCAGAGCTGGCCTCCAATTTGCAATCTTTCAGTCTTAGCCTCCAGAGTTGCTGGGATTACAGGAATGCACTACCATGCCTGGCTATAATTTTTTAGGTGTAAATTGAGGCAAACAAAAAGAAAGAATCAGACTCTGACAAACAGATAAGCAAGTAGTAACTGACCTACTGAATCCTAAATCAATACTAGGGAGAGCCAAGAAGCAACCAGACATATCACAGAAGTCTCAAGAGAAATAGGTGGCAGTGGGATGAAGGTGGATCTAAAAACAAGAAATTACTGAAAGCCTGAGAAAGTCAGATCCCAAATCCCCTCCCTAATCACAATGGGTGACTGAGGCTTATTTTCTTAGAAAGTGGCCACAAACTGGGGAATACCAGGCTCATCTGAGGTTAGGAGCATTGGGTGGCAGAGTATCTTAAACTTAAACTGAACTTAAACCAGGAGGATCAATGGCAACTTCTGTACTGAATGTTGAGATGGCCCAGACCTCTTTCAATTCAGTCCCCAGACATAAGTGGGAGATCAAAAGAACCATCTCTCAGTAATCTATCCAAGATAAAAGATTAAAAAAAAAAAAATACTGATGCTGGGGCTTCCCCAAAGACATGGCCCCTACAGTGAAGGCCATGGTCAACACAGGACTTTTCAGTGCCTTACTTTAAAATATGATCAGCCAGCTAAGGATTACCAGACATTTAAGGAAAATATTTAAATATCCAGAACTGAACAAGCAATTTAGAAGAAATAGTATACAGACAGAATAATACTTGGAAAATAATCTATTAGCAATAGCCTCAAGAGATGAATAAGAAATATAAAGATATTTCATCATGAACAATGGATGGGATTGTTTTCCCTGGATGGGAATAAAAGGAAAAAAAATGGGAACATATAGAGAAGACTAAGAGTTCTTAGCAATTAAGATTCAACTCAAATGCCTTTCCAAGGAGCCTAATTCATGCTCTTCTCTCATGCAGACTGTAAGAGTTCTTACCTCATTTTTTACTTGCTGTCTTATTTTTCTGTCTCCCCCTATCAAAACTAAATGTCTTGAGTTTAGGGACACCTCTTTGTATTCCCACTGTCCAGTGCCAGGATCAAACAGATAAGCAGAGTTGCAGGACTATTAGCTGCCACTGCTTCAGGGGAACAGGTGCTGAACACCAGGCTGAAGTAGCTTGCAGCAAACAGCTGCTACACAAGTCAAGGGGACATATACTGTAGCACAAAACCTCTAGGTGACAACAGCTCCGGAGTGTCCGAATCTCCTCTTCTCTTTCAAGTCCAGGGTTTCCTTGACTCTTCATATTCAGCCAATCCATGTGGCTTCTGCGCCTCTACATATCCTTCTGCATCTGCACATCCTTCCTGTAGGGGCTTTCTGGACTTTTCCAGATAGTCTCTGGGTGCAACTGAGGCAGACAATCCCAGAGTTCTTTAGGAAGCAGTGTGCTCTGACTTCAAAGGCATTCCTAGAGCATCAGTCAGAGAATGAAAACTACTTATCCCTGGTTTCCAAGCTAGCCAGTTCATGATGGGGGAGAAACATGTGCAGAAGATTGCTCTCTGAATAACAGCTGTGGAAGTGGCCCTGGCACAGAATGCCAAGTCAGGGAAATCAAAGCCCTTCAGGCAGAAAAGAGGAAGGTGCAGAGGGGCAGCTGGCCACTTATGGTGGGATTCTGGGCCTCTCATCCAAAGGCATCTTTATTTGGAAACACCTGGGTTCGGCCCCTTGGTTCATCAGGTTCAAAAGTACTTAAATTACCAACCTGTGGGTAATTGGTTCCCAAAAAGAATTATTCATGGACATAAGGGGCAAGTGTGAAGTAAGAAGGACACTGGTAAATATGGCAGATCTCTTACATCCTTGATTCCTTTTTTTTTTTTAGTGCCCACAAATAACTTCTATTGCCTACAGGGTTGAGAGAGAGAGACAGAGAGAGAGAGACAGAGACAGAGAGAGACTGACTCCTACTTTCCTACAGAGCAAACAGAGGGAAAGTTCCTTACAAGAATTCTTTCTTATTCTCTTCCTAACTCCTCTGAGAGTGTCCACAGCTAGCAGCTTCCCTAAGCCAATATACAGTAGTACCGGCTTCCTTCTTGATGAGACCACTATCTCACCCACAGTGACAAATCATCCTGTTTTACTCAGGACTTTCCCAGTTTCAGCACTGAAAGTCTCATGTCCCAGGAAACACTTCAGTCCTAGGTTGAAGGGTTCCACATCCCAATCCCATGTGCCTTTATTCAAACCAGTCAAAAGCTAATGTCACCCCTGTAGAAGAAACAATTCTTAGTTCTATTCTTTGAACCCTTTAATAGTCTACAGACAGAATCTGTGAATTAATTTGATCCTTAACTGTAGTCTGATATTTCTGAAATTATAACTCCCCCAATGAGCCCATCCCCTAGGATATGGAGATACCTGACATCAGGGTCATAGACATTAGGGTATCCCACGTTCATATAGCTAGCAGTCAACAGTCTGTGTTGCCTAATTCAGGAGACTCTAGTCACCAGACACAGATGTCTCAAACTTAGTACTACTGACATTTTGGGGGAGATAATTCTTTGTCGTGACGGAAAATCCTGGACATTGTAGGATACTAGCAGCACTCTTGGCCTCTAGATTTTAGTTGTCCAGTTCTGACAACTAAAAATGCTGCAGACACTGCCAAAAGTCCTTTTGGTGGTGGTGGTGGGGGATTACCCTGCATGGGAATCATTGCATCATACTGTTCTGCTTTCTCTGGAACTTCCTGGTGTCCTCTACTCTTTTCTTCTCTTCCCATCACGTCTTTGAGGAATATATCAAATTTTTACATAGATCTTAGACAGATTATAAGACTGTGTACCAAGGCACCTCACAACAGGAGACACCATACTTAGCCAATTCTCAGTTTGAATATCAGTGGGAATATTCTATGCTCTGCATAGACTACTTACTGGCCTATATGGGGTGGCCTGAGGATTGTAGTTAGAGGTACAAACTTGGTCCTCAGACCAGAGCAGCAAGTTTCAGGATTTTCTTCTTTACTCTGGCATTGCCTGTACCCTTTCACTTACTTTTTAAGTCATAGCTTATGAAGAGATCTAGGACTCTGGATAAAAGGTAACAGATGGTCAGACACTATTCATCCTTTGCTGTCTTGAGTCCATCGGCCAAAGGAGAACACTAGATTTAAGTGGGTCTGGGGTTTTCTGGTATCCAACTAACTCGCCCCTAGAAAGAGCTGCAAATAGCAAAGGTCAAAGATGCTTATGGGAAAATATAAGAATTCCTGTATGACATGTGTCATCTTCCATCTTAGTGAATTCTCTGCCAGAAGAAAGGAATAATAGCTCTTGTTGGTGCCTAGAAGATGCTCTAAAAATAAAGAGCAGAAGCATTGAAAAGACCAAATTCAGGAAACTCTTCCAATCTGAAAATGGTTCCCATCCGTGTGCTTCTATTTTTAAAAGACATCAACTGCATTTGAGAAAAATGAAAACCCGGGAGCTGAACCAAAGGGTACCCTGCTCTCTACTTGGTTGTCTTCATAGCAGAAGAGTCACAGAGTAGAAATTCACAATGAACCGAGCTCCGCTGCAGACGGGTCAGATGACCACACTACAGTATTTACTTGCTTAGCAGTTGCCATGACAAAACGGACACGCCTGGGCTCTGGACCAAGAACATGGAATTCTCTGACCCCAGATGCCTGTTACGTATGTCACTGCTGCCTGCTTTCCTGTGAATTAAAGAAAGATAGGAAGGAAGGGAGAGAGGGAGAGAGAAAAGGAGGAAAAGAAGCAAGAAGGGAGGAAGGGAGGAAGGGAGGAAGGGAGGAAGGAAGGAAGGAAGGAAGGAAGGAAGGAAGGAAGGAAGGAGGGAGAGGGAGGGAATAAACAAATGAACACAGAAAACCAATTTCACCTCCAAATAGGATGGGACAACCCTGGAAAATGACACACAGGGCTGATATAACAGAGCTGGAGATGGGATCCCTGTCAGGTGCTGCACAATTGAAGTATTCCATTTATGGGAGCAAGAGTTTCCTTGATGTACGTGTGTGTGTGTATGTTTATTATAACTAACAAAACGTGGCTGGGGGAGAACAAGACCACAATCACATCTCAGAGCATGAAGAAGTACCCATCATCCACTGAAGTGCCAGGTTTCTCAGAACAGATTGGGCTCTCTCCTCCAAGCCCACAGCCTGAATCTTCATGGTGGGCTCTGCCTGTCTGAACCCGACCCTTATATTGGGACATTTAGGAGTCTACACTTCCCTCTACGCATTTGCTCTAATCTCAAATCAAGATCAATCCAAGATCTGACATAAAACTTGGACGATAAGTGCTTTCCAAGAGGCAAATGTTAATGGTGCAATACAGGCTGTGTTCCTTGCCATTAAAATTGGGGTCCCTGGTTGCTGCTGCTAATGGTGTCAGCTGGGTTGGTGACCTAGCCGTTGACTGGTGTTTTGAGGTGATGCCTCAAATGAAGCCAGGGTGAACTTGCACAGTGGAGGAAGGATATTATTCTGAGGAAGTTTTTTTGGAGCTTGTTGGTTTTGAAAATCAAGAGTGTGAACAAAGAAATGGGTGGGGTCACCCCCAGTAGAGAGCATGCACTGTCCTCAACCTCAGCTCAGTTCAGGGCTGCTGACGTGACTATGGCTGCCAGCTGCCAAATGCTGCTTCCCTCTGCTTGTTAAAGAGCCCAGCAACCCATCTGATTTACCGAATAGAGCTCGTTCAGGACCTTCATCAAATCATCTTGGAGCTGCTGGCCGACTTCTTTACTCTGCAAGGAAAGAGGAATGAAGGTTAATTGGGAAACAGAAGGAGGGAGGAGGGGGCAACAAAGGCAAGAGCAGCACTGGCTCTACAAATAACACAGACTCAATTAAGGCCCATTATTTAACCCAGCAAATCAGATAACCACTCGGTTCAGACCCAATTATGGTCAGATTACTCAAAGAGTTTTAATAAAATGAAATGTGCCCTTTCTGTAGCCCAGCAAAAGCAATCGTGTAGAGGGAAAATGGGTTATAGCCTTTGATTTTTCAATTGGTCCCCAAAGAGCAGGCCTGAAAGCCACATCCTACCTAGCAACAGTTGTTAGGTGGAGCATGCCTTCTCAGATACTTGTAGGCAAACATGCCAAAGGATTACAAAGGAAAGATGCATAATAGGATGAGAGAGGAAAAAGCACATCAACATTCAAGGACTTCAAAGTCCCTAACTAAATAAGTTCAAGCAGGAAGGAATTGTACTTCTCACTGGCTTTATTTCTACTACAAACTCTCAAGGAAGTGGTTCTTCAATAATGACTGCTTGCAGCCTGAGCTAACGGTACCTGATTCTGATAATATCTGTTAAGGGGTCTTCAACTGGTTAATCCTGAGCAGTGGTAGCTCTCAGATTCTTTGTTGCTGCCACCCAGGGCTGGCATCTAACCACATAGAACAGTAGAAATAGAGAAAAATGAGGAAGCAGGAAGGAAAGAGTCATGGCTTCTGAACAGAATGTTATATGCCAAGCCCAAGGGAGCAGGGGATAAAACCGATTGGCCTCATGGCGGAATTGATAAGGAAAGCCCTTGTTGTATCTTCTGCCAGGCCCCTCTAATTCTTTACTATAAAAATTCAGATACCAGCATCTTTCTAACAGAAGTTATAATACTGTCTTGGCATAGCTAAATGCCCAGGCAAGAAGGGATGTGCCCTTTTATTCAGAAACAAAATCATTATAAATCTTGCTTTTTTTCCCAAGATACATACATCTTTATCTCAAAAATACCTTTTCTGATTACAAAAGTAATATATTTATTATAACAAGGAAAGTGGAAAAACCATCAAAAGAGAAAACAAAGTAACCCTGAATTCCTACCACTAAAAAAATCATCACTCTAGACAGTGGTAAAATATTTTTCTAATTTTCCCTTTCATTATTATTTTTACAAAGTTGGGATTGCATTATAAACACTATTTGGGAATTTATTTGCTTAACTGTATATTGTGAACATTTCTCCATCATTCTTCTATAATATTATAATACATTAGGCTGAGATAGCTCCTCTTCTTAGGTATTTGCTTCCAAAGTTTTGTGATAGAAAATGCTGTATTAAATTGCTTTATATATAATCATCTATGCACACTTTTTTCATTATTTTCTACTAGAAATAACAGTGGGTCAGAGAGTACTCATTTGTAGCCTTAAATTGCCTTTGAGAAATACTGTACCAATTAAAAATACTGCCAGAGGCATGTAAGAATGCTTAGTTCACTTTTTTTTTTTGGTCTTGACAACCAAAAATCTTTGCCAATTTAGGGAACTGTGATGTGGTATCTCTTGCAATCTGCAGTTCTTTGATTCTAGTGAGCCTGAACATTTTTAAAAACATGTTTATCAGACATTTCATTTTTTCTGTTATGGTTTGCCATTTTTTTTCCAATAAGGAATTCTCTGCCCATTTTTTTTCTAGTAAGGTATTCATTATGGAATATAACATAGGTGTGCCCTCCATCATAGGTGGTCCTGAATTTTTATAGCCAGTAGTAGAGAATGGAGTGGATTAGAGAATGGAGTGGAAGGAAACCTAAATTGGCAATCATAAGAGTCTCCTTCTTCTATTCCCAGCTCTTCTACCACCTGCTATAACCTTAGGCACCCTGGTTAATCTCTTTGCATCTCTCGTTTTCTCTTCCATAAAATGAAAGGCCTCTGCCACTAGAATTCCACATGATTTTTTGCCTAGCTCCTTGCATCCATATTCCATTCAAACACGACCCCTTTAGTGTGTAATGGGTTGGCTGTCTTCACACCATAGTGTAGCAGATAATGGGAAAGGTCTCCTCAGGGACTCAGTTGCTCTGCAAAACAGAGGGCTTCAGGGGCACTTTTCTGGTCTTGAATTTATCATTCCTAGTGTCTGTCATCCAGTGACCTCAACCACTGGAGGAAGCCACAGGAGGGAATGCCTTTCCTGCGCACACTCACACCCCAGCCTCACCCATCTTGAGGAGAGCTGAGCTCCACTGAAGCAGCTAAGGCCCAAGGAGGTGAAGTAAGGAGAAATGACTCACCACCAGCCTCGGAGTCAGCAACAGGGTCAGGAAGTGACCACGAGTATCACTTCCCACCACCCTGCCCTGCTGCCTCCAGGCCGGCCTCCACCCCCCCCACCCCCTGCCACCCCACCAGCCTTCCAGCCTCTCCTACCACCTCCTTATGCTGAACAGCAGAGGTTAAGGGGGAAAAGTGCTTGATGCTCTACCCTGTAGCTTATCCACAACTTAAAACAACCCCAGTCCCGCAGGAGTGGAGGAGAAAGGAGTGAGGAAGAGGGAAGGAAAGCCTAACCAATAAAATAGCAATTAAGCCAGGCAGATGTTTCCTTTCATGTGCTGATTAGCTGGGAGGACCACTCAACTCTTACCCTGTTTATTTGAACAGGGCTCAAGTGATCTGACTTACCACTCCCTCTGCCAGAGAGCTGGGCTGGGAATACTCCTGTAGTTAACCCAGTTAAAATGCACAGTAAAGCCCCTAGCAATCAGGAGCAATTCTGACCCAGGGAGAGAGGGACGAAGTGGGCTGTGTCTCTCCTTTCACTGATACAAGGCTGGCCTTCTCTATTTCAGAAACCTTAACTGTGCGCCTTTAGGGAAAAGCACAGCGCAGGAAGGGCTTCCGTGCTGGCCACTGTGGGGAGGTTGACCGAGCTGGGAAGCTACAAGGGGCCCCACCCAGAGACAAGGGGCACATTTATTCCTCAGAACAACAAAATCTGATGAGGCCCAGAGAAGGACAATGAAGACTGTGGAGCTTTTCCGTTTCCTGTAAAGAAGCAAGGGGTCTCTAGGCAGGGAAGAAAAAGAATTTACAGTGCAGTCTTTGTGCACTAATATTCAGCCTGCATCTCTTTAAAATTTCTTGGAAGAGAATGAGTCATCTAAACATTGCAGGAAACCAAACAGAAGTCAGGGAAAAAATTACTTTGGGTAAAGTTTTTCTCTTAAATGTTTGCATAGTAATTTTTGCCTGGAAAAAAAAAAAGTACCTAAATTTAGAACAGAGATGTGGTACAGTGACCAATGCTGGTCCTATGGAATAGGAAATGTGATGGTGTGCTCAGGCATGGATATTTTATTTTGAAACTTACCATAACCCTTTGGCTAGAGTGAGTTTCGAGGGGGCCTCCATTCTGCCTGCTACTGGGGCTAAGGCGAGGCTGATGAGAAGACATTGAAATTGCAATAGCTCCTGCCAAAATGGGTAGGGAATCTTCCTTTTCCAACATATAATAGCAACGGACAACAGAACTGAAATGCACAGCCTCATCTCCCCAAGACTGTAATGTTCCAAAGCCCTCTTGCTCACAGAACAGATACAGCAGCAGAAATGTTCTGAAATATGAGGCTACATATCTGGAATGCCTGGACACTGGGCTGGTCACTCATCTTTAGACCTCTTTAAGCCAACACATCTGCTGAGCTTCGGTGAGTTTAGTTTTTCCCAAAGAACAACAATTATGAAAAGGCTTTATTTTTATTTATTTTATTTTATTGGAGGGGTATTGAGGATTGAACTCAGGGGCACTCAGCCACTGAGCCATATCCCCAGCCCTATTTTGTATTTTATTTAGAGACAGGGTCTCACTGAGTTGCTTAGTGCCTCGTTTTTGCTGAGGCTAGCTTTGAACTCCTGATCCTCCTGCCTCAGCCTCCAGAGCCGCTGGAATTACAGGCATGGGCCACCAGGCCCGGCTTTAAAACCAGTCATCATCAGAGGGATCCCCATTACTGGAGTCTCTAGTTATTCAGATCAGTACAGAGAGTGTTTTTCAAGAAGGGGGTGGGATAGGGCTGCATTTTATTGGTTCCCTACACTACAAAGCTATGTTATTTGACAGTCATAAATTAACCACATTTGCATGAAAGGGAGGGGAAAAAAGGAAGGCAAGTCTTCACCCTGTGGTGAGAACTAATTTCAGCCTGTCCCAGGGCTGAGCCTGTCAGCAGGTAGAAACAGTAGGTCATTTAGCTGTGTTGATTAGCCTATGTCAGCGCTTTTCCAAAAAGGAATCCAATTTTCAAGGACACAGATCTCGTCCACCAGTGCTAGCATCCCCTCCTCACCCATAAGATACTTCAGAGGCCAACTGTTAAAACAAATCCGGTTAAAAACTGACTACATTTACAGATTTCAGAAGAAAGGGACATGAGCCTCCTATTTAAGCTCTAGCAGCAGGAGAAGCACCACTAGATGCAGGTTGAAGGTTTCAGGGGCACTTGCTCAGTGCCCAGAGCTCTTGCTCTGTCCCAACAGCTTTTGATGGGGAGGATAGGACTCAAAGGAGTGGCTGTGGATAGCAGGGCCAATGCTAGGTGGTGGCCCTTATTGTATCTGGCCACTCTTTCACACATTTCAGTCCACCAAAATGGTAGTGGAGTATAGTGCTGAGACTGCAGGGGTGCTTCAGGTGGTGATCCAGCAGGTCAGCACTCAGGAATGATTTCTAGATTTTTCCATCAACCACACTCCTTGCATACATTTCTATTGCCCATTCACTTACTAGTTAGGATACCAACTATGGTTCTAGGAAGGTTGAGCTACACTTGAAGCCTTATACTCTGGGAAGACCAAGGTTATATAATATTCAGTTACAGGGGTGGTGTGGTGTGGTGTATGGTTCAGTGGAAGGCTACTTGCCTGCCTTGTGCAAGGCCCTGGGTTCATCTCCAGCACTGTAATAAACTAACAAAACATCACTGCAGTGTAAAACTTTTTTTTTTTTAG